TCCCCCAGCCAACCGACAGGTTGGCTGGGGGATTCTGGGAGTTGTAGTCCCCCACCTCAAAAAAAAAAAGATTATTTAAACCCCCAGCTTTACTTTTGTTTCCTTCTTTGAAAAAAAAAACTTCTTTTTTTCCCTTCTTTCTCTCTCTCGCCCCTTTTCTTGGGTGAGGATCTTTTAGGTTCTGTTCCCACGACCTTTTCTCCGGGTTTTCCTCCCCAAAGAACCCGCCGTGGGGATCGTCAGGAAAGGGGGCTCGGGTTTTTTTTTTAAGTTGGGGATACCCCCCCCTTCAAAGAAAATAATCACAAATAAACTTGGCTGACGGGGAAAAGAAAGAGGAGGGGGAGGAAATCAATGTTGTCCTTCCCCAAGGCGAGAAGTAAGGGGTGTTTCTCCCTCTCCCCAGCCCCTCCTTATGTTTGTTACACGTTGACACGTGTTTGGGTAAAATAGAGAGAGATGGGGGGGGGGGTGGATAAAGGGATTGCCTGCAATGGGGCCATCCTATAAAATATGGGAGGGGGGTGTTTTACAAAGAGTTTCTCAGGAATAATAGGATTTTTTCCCCCTGATCGCATAGGATCCTAGCAATAACTTTTATGAATGCCTATTTTAAGACAAAACACTCAACAGAAAGCCCCATTGGATGAGCAAAGGAGGAGCCCCTATAAGAAGCTGCCTGCCTGTCGCCAAACGACATTTCTGCCAGCAAAGCTCTCGAGATCCGTTGGGAAAAGCCCGTGTTCTTCGGACATTGAGTTTTTTAAAAGTCCTGTTTTTCAAGGGTAGCCAGTGCCCTTCTGAGCTGGAGGTTGGGAAAAAACAAACAAACCTCTTCCTTTCTTTTACCAACCCAGGGCAGAGAGAGGAGGCGCTCTGTTTTCACCGTGTTTTCCTCCTGCCCGATTGGGCCCTTTCAGGGGGTGTGCGCGTAATGCCTGTGAAGCCATGGGCATCAGTATTTATAAGGTGGACCATATGTTAAAAAATAGATTATCTACAGATTTTAAAACCATCTCCCACTATTCTGTTCCACGTTTATGTAACAAAGGTAAACAAAGGTGGTGCTGCCCAGGGACTTATCCGGAGGCAGCATATGTTCCCCTATGGGTCATCCAGGGCTGTGGGGCTCCTTTGGCCATCATTCTTGGTGTGTAAGAGAGAACCTAGTGGATAGACTGATCATAAGGACCCAGGAGACCCGAGTTCAAATCTCCGCTCAGTCATAGAAACTCGCCGGGAGGTGTCAAAGGGTAAAACTTGCACCCTGAAAACCCACTAGAGTTGTCACTTGTCATAATGCACACGCGTTGATGGGAGAAAGGAAGGGTGTTTGGGTTTGATGAGCTAGCCGGAAAAGCTTAGAAAGTTGTATACACCCAACTTAAAAAAAAAAACACCAAATAAATGGGGCTGATGCTTAGGGGTCCGGCCATCGTTTGGAAGCATATGAAAACACGTACAATTCCATGGAGTTGAAATCCAAGACTCATTTCTCACCCTATGCCAAATGGGGCATTGCTGGGCTCAGTTCGTATGCCTTTTTGTCCCATCCCCCCCCTTTCAACCTTCCCAGGGATGCCTTCGGCAACAGGAAGAGTTTACGTCTCTCGAGGAGAAGCCACAGTTCCCGGGAGCCTCGGCTGAGTTCATAGACAGGCTTGAATTCATTCAGCCCAATGTCATCTCGGGGATTCCTATCTACCGGGTCATGGACCGGCAGGGGCAGATTATCAATCCCAGCGAGGATCCTCAGGTGAGACCGACTTCAGCCCTGCCAGGTTGCCCAGTGGCAAGATACGGTAGGACACCCCCCCCATATCCACAGGATCCACTGCTCTGCAGCCTGAAAATATTTTAGAAATTGTTTTTCAAAAAGCCCAGAAATGTCCTGTGTTTTTCCATGTATAAGACTATACTTCTCTGCAGCCTGCAAATATTTAAAAAATTGTTTTTCAAAAAGCCCAGAAATGTACCGTATTTTTCTGTGTGTAAGACTATACTTTTGTCTAAAAGGGTCATCTTACACACGGAAGTAAGCTGAGGAGAGAACAAAAACAAGTGGAGGCGAAAGCAGGGATCAAAGTGATCCTGCAGGGCTTTGATCCCTTTCCCCCTGCACTTGCTAAGTCCCACTTAGATTTCTTACTTTGGATTAGAAAAGTGGAGGGTGTCTTATACACGGGAAAATAGGGTATATTCTTAAAGAGGAAGTTATCAGGACTGGCCGCTAGAGGGACCCAGGGACCATGCTATATGTATGGCATTTCCTATTAAAATGGTGTTTGCTATGATCCGCGTTTTTCAGCATCCGCGGGAAGGTTTGGATCCTATCCCCTGCAGATACAGAGGCCCTGTAGATCCTGCCTCACAGGTGCCAAAATCCCATATCTCAGAGCTAAGGAATGCGTAATTATTTTTTCGGTCCTGTTTAAATGGTCATTTCCACGGATCCAGTACTCTTTCCCCCCCCACCTTCTCTCCTTGCAGCTTCCCAAAGAGGAAGTGTTGAAGTTCTACAAGAGCATGACCCTTCTCAACACCATGGATCGCATTCTCTACGAATCCCAGAGGCAGGTAAGGGCTCCGGCACGCCCCCCTCTTGCTTGGAACAGGTAGCCCATCCTCAGATCTTAGCCTCCTCCCTTATTTTACCCATTGAAATGTTCAGTTTTGGAGGGGGGGGCAGGCAGCAACTCCCAGAATACCCCAGCCGTTGAGCATTTTAGTCCAGAAAAGCGAACGCGGAATAAAGACAGTAAGTTTTTTTCTTGCATCAGGGAATAGACTTGAATCCTTTGGGTGAAGAGAGAAGGGCAGCACTTCCTGATTTGGGGAGCCCTGCCCTTCCTTCCCTGACAGTAAATGTGGGGAGTTTTTCTGTCCTTAGGGTCGGATCTCCTTTTACATGACCAACTACGGGGAGGAAGGAACCCACATTGGCAGCGCAGCCGCCCTCGACGACACTGACCTGGTGTTCGGACAGTATCGGGAAGCAGGTAACCAGCCGCCATGAGGTGTGCAGTTTGCTGCTCAGCCACCGGGTGGCAGCACACGATAGCCCACATGCTGCTCAGCATTCGCCTGTCCCAGGGAGTGCCCTACCTGATGTACTTCTACCTTTCCTCCCTTCACTCCCTTAAATAGCGTTTTGCTCTTTTTTTGCTACCGTATTTTTCCGTGTATAAGACTATACTTTTCTCTAAAATCTTTAGACTAAAAATTGAGGGTCGTCTTATACACAGAAGTAAGCTGAGGAGAGAATAAAAACAAGTGGAAGGGAAAGCAGGGATCAAAGTGATCCTGCAGGGCTTTGATCCCTTTCCCCCTGCACTTGCTAAGCCCCACTTAGATTTCTTACTTTTCAGTTAGAAAAGTGGGAGGGGGCGTCTTATAAATGGAAAAATACAGTACCTTATATTCTGCAATAACAGCCAACATAGCAGATGTTCCAAAATACACTGTCTTTGTTTCCATCTGGCTTTCCACGTGGATACCTTTCTGGACATACCAACTGCTGGCTTTGATTGATCTGATCCACATGATTGATTTAATTATTGATTTGATTATTGATCTGCATTACGAACAGGCTTTCTTTCTTTTTAATCTGTTCGGCTTTCCTTCTGTGCTCCTTTTGTGAAAAATGAAAAAGTTTGAAGGGGAAACATTATCCTTTGAACCTCACTAAATTATCATACATCCTGTGATTAAGAGGTGGAAGATACTTTCAAGATTCACCTGGAATGGCTGGGTGTTTTTTGTGTGAGATGAGACCTCAATGGAAATAAAATGGATGCTGAGTTTCTGTACATGACCTCGCATGCTTTCATGCAGAATCCGTGCGAGAAGCCACTCCCAGCCTGGTGGGAGCGCAGCTGGGAGACCTGAACTCTAACCCCTGTTTGGTGAGGAAACTCACAGAGTGCCCTTGCGTGAGTCACCACGCGTCAGCCTGGTCTACCTCACAGGATTGTTGTAGGAAAGGAAGAGACTCGTGTGTCCTGCATTCCGCTCAGTTGGAGGAAAAGTGAGATATAAATGTGGCCGAAAAATTAAAACTTGGCGAGCAAAGCTTAAGAACTCTCTGCCTTTCCAGGTGTCCTGATGCACAGAGGGTACCCTCTGGACCTCTTCATGGCGCAGTGCTATGGCAATGCCAGTGACCCCGGGAAAGGCCGCCAAATGCCCGTGCATTACGGGTGCAAAGATCTGCACTTTGTCACCATCTCATCCCCGCTGGCCACTCAGATCCCACAAGGTGAGAGGACACCCGGTTCCAACACTTACAGAGCGCAGACTTAACGCTGGGCGGCCTTTTGGCTCCCTGGCCGAAAGCAAGTCAGGGAAACCTGAAATCAGGCCAGGAAGATCCTACTGGGCTGGGAAAGAAGGCTCGGTGGTTTGACTTGGTAGAAGGCAGCTTTATGTCCACCCAGCAGGCTTCCAAAATACAGCAGGACCCCTGTATCCACAGGATTGGTATCCGCTGATTCACTTATCTGAAAATATTAAAAATATTTGAAGAAAAATCCTAGAAATAGATATTTTTAAAGAGGAGATTACTAGAACTGGCCACTAGAGGGAGACAGAGACCTTGCTGTGTCTAGCGTTTGCTATTATCCACATTTTTCAGCATCCGCATGGAACTAATCCCCCATGGATATGAGGGTCCTCCTGTATACATTTTTTAGTTCAGCTGTCAGAATCTCCTAGTTCTTGGCATTCTCAGAGCTGACATTCCCCCTCAAAATAACTCTTCCAACTGTTCCTTTTCAGGGCTGTTCTTCTTCAGCCTTGGCAAATTTGGGGGGTTGGGGTGGGTCCAGAGGAGGACTTCCCCAGGCCAGGGTCTGGGTCACCCCACAATATACAGCCTCTGCTTTTTAAATGGTAAGGACAGGCTAAAACTAAGTCACTCGGCCACCCCTGAGCCACACCGCATGGCCTGTGAGTGCATCTCACCCTTTCCTCCTCCTCTCGGCAGCTGTCGGCTCTGCCTACGCCATCAAGAGGGAGAACGGCAACCGGATCGTGATCTGCTACTTCGGGGAGGGCGCGGCCAGCGAGGGCGATGCCCACGCGGGCTTCAACTTTGCTGCCACCCTCGAATGCCCCATCATTTTCTTCTGCCGGAACAACGGTTACGCCATCTCTACCCCAACATCGGAGCAGTACCGGGGCGATGGCATCGGTAAGAGGGTCGGAGGAAGCACCCGGCCTCTGTAATAAGCTATAACCGTAAGGCTGTAGCCTCTTTAAAATATAACTAGAAAAACGTCACACCCATCACAGCATGGAATAAAATTCCAGAAATGTGACTTGGTTATGTCCTTGTCTCCTTCCACCCAAATGACTCAGCAGCGTTACCTCTAATTATCTGCAATTTCCATGCACTGTTGCTAGTGCTACTGCATCTGATGGGACTTTTCCCCCAGTTACGTGGTGATAGGATGCGTGTCACAGAGAATGGGTTTCTTCCTGTTTCAACCAGCTCTCTCTATGTGGGGCAGAGACTCTGTCCTTTCTCCTCCGAGAGACCCGGGAGGCCTCCCATCATGCGCCACAACGGGAAACAATTTTATTCCCTAGAGGAAGTTGTGATGTTTTTTAAAAGCAAAGTTCAGTTCAACTGTTAGTGTACAAAAACAAAGCTGGAAAGATTCTGTCGCGATGTCTGTAAAGGATTCTTGGGTTTAACTCACGTACCTCTTAGAAAATCAGAAATGCCCGGTGTTTCTCTTTATGCCTCTGTGCAGGTATATGTGCTCTCACTTTGATTATGCCATATTTCTTTTTGTAATGCACGTTTTACATGCTTTAGAGAAACTTTGCTGAAGAGCAGGGTGGGAAATGCTTGAAATAAATTAAAAAAGCAGTGTTGGTACAAAGATGCACAGATCCTTTATAGCAGATCCCGGGGGTGCCCATCTTTCCTTTCTGTCCTCAGCCGCCCGGGGTCCTGGCTATGGCATCCACTCTATCCGGGTGGATGGCAACGATGTCTTTGCGGTGTACAACGCCACCAAGGAGGCCCGTCGCCGCGCCGTCGCGGAGAACCAGCCATTTCTCATCGAAGCCATGACCTACAGGTGAGCACGCGCGGAGAGGCAGAAATGGATCTCATCGCTTGGGGGGGGAAAGGGCCGTCCGCCAGGCCAGGGGGGGCTAGAAATTCGGGCTGAATGACCAGCTGCCCGTTGCTCTTTCCAGGATTGGGCATCACAGCACGAGTGACGATAGCTCCGCCTACCGCTCGGTGGACGAAGTCAACTACTGGGACAAGCAAGACCACCCCATCTCTCGGCTCCGTCACTATATGGCGGGGCGAGGTTGGTGGGACGAAGAGCAGGAGAAGATCTGGCGCAAGAAGTCCCGCAAAAGAGTTGAGTGCCTTGGAATGGACGGGAGGACCCTTGTATCCGGGGTGGGGGGGCGGTTGGTTCCAAGCCCTGCCCCGTGGATTATAGCAAACACTGTTTGAATAGCAAACAGTATACAGTTTTAACCAAAAACATAAATTGTTGTTGTTGATGTTGTTACTATTAATCTTAGAATACAATCCCTCAGCAAAGCTTTTATAATGCATGCAAGCATCTATTACAGAAATAAAAATGAAACCGCAAAGATGATTTTTAGAGAAGCAGCACACTTTGCTTTTTAAAAGCGGGAGCTTGTTTGCATGCCTGCCTGTAGGTCTAAAGCGTCGCCGGTTTGGCCAAAACAAATTGATCTTCCCGTCTCTCTTCCTTTTCGGCCCTCCCTCCAGGTGATGGAGGCCTTCGAAGAGGCGGAACGCAAACTGAAGCCCAACCCTCTGCTTATGTTCTCGGATGTCTACTCGGAGACGCCCCGGCACATCCAGAAGCAGCAGGAATCCATGGAGCGTCACCTCAAGCAATACGGCGAACATTACCCCCTGGGCCTCTACGAGAAGTGACCGAGGCCGTCTCGGTCTCTCTCTTCCTCTCCTCCAACAGCTAAGATCTGTAGGAAGAACTCCCGGCTGAAAGGGTTTGGTAGGGAGAAAGGAGAGTCCCCGTCTTGTGCCACCCCTTCCTCATCCCGATGGCGGCCACATGGAAAAGCAGGAAAATCAGCTGCTCCCAGGCTCCCCCATGACAGAACCTTTTTGCCAATGAGTTGCGGGTGAGTCGGGTGAAGGATGACCACCTCAAAGCTTTGACCTTCTACAGAGTCTCCAAACCCAGCTTGTTTCAGCCGCTGCTGACTGCCACTTTGTCCCGGTTAAAAATAATCATCTTTCAGTCACACATATAACCTCTTGAAAGCACAGGGACGAACTTCAGCTTCCCAGCTGCGGAGAGAACGTGCCTGATCTCTGCCGTTTTCCTACCTGGAGCACCGTCTCCAGTACCTCTGTCTTCCTTCTCTTTTATTTTACAAATATTGGACATCAAACCAGCAGGCTTTTCCCCCCTTCCGCGGAGGAGCTTGTATCTCAACGAGTAAGACTTATCTGAACCACTCTGGCAACCGATCGCCACTTTTGGGAAGGAACCAGCGGGCTGAAGTATGGATAGGTGCATTTTTTCCAACTTTTGGTGAAGGCAGACTTGCCATCATCTCCTTTCTTGCTCATCCACCCTACGTTGAGGTGCTGTCTCTGAGAAATTATTCTTTTCTAGGGATTCTCTACAACCACCTGAAATGTGTCTGTAGCTATTTTGTCAAAACACTACAAGGAAATGAATTTTCAAAGGCTTTGGGGGCTTTTAGCAGCTGAGGGATATTGCACCGGAGTTAGCTTTTGGCGTCAGGTGAGACCAGCAGTAGGAAGAATGGTCCTTTACTCTAGTAAGCAGTTAGCATTTCCAGCAACTTTGGAAGAGAACACAACTCTCTCCTTGTGGGTTACATATATTTAAAACTGTTACAGACTGAAAGCAGTGGTGATTTGGGGACTTTCATGGAAATAGTGAATGTGGGGCTGGTGTAAGTATGTATGATCAAGAGGCTGGTTGGAAGATTAATTAAAAAAAATTGTACGGACACTACCCTGTTTCCATTTCACTTGATTGCTAAGTAAATTTCTCGGGTGACGAGCACCACATCCTTGACTCTGGAACTCATGTTCCCAGAATGGGTGGAAGTTGGATAAGTGCTGGGGGGGGGGGGGGNGGGGGGGGGGGTGGGGGAGAGAGAGAAATGCTTTGCCCATAATCAGGAGTGGCATCACAGGATTTGGAGGTCGTGCCATGTATTGAAACATATTCTGGGGCAACATTTTACTTATAGTAGGAAGCCCGCATCTGTTCCAACTCCACCCCTCCGCGGATGCTGAAAACCACGTATTATGGTGACCGCTATTTGGAGAATAACGCAGTACATGACATGGTCCCTGGCCCCCCCTGTAGTGGCCAGTTTTCATAACCTCATCTTGAGAAATCTATATTTCTAGGATTTTTCTTTTAATATTTTCAGATCACGGAGAAGTGACTCAGCGGATATTGATCCTGCAGATATGGGAGTCCTACCGTACATGTTCAAACAATTTAAGGTTGATAATGGAGGAAAACTGCCTCTTTCATTTCATATATCTTTTATAGTTGTAGTGCCCTAACACTCTTGAGGAGGTAGAATTCCTTAAATCTTTCTGGCAATGACAACCTTCCTAATTTGTCTAAACTGTCTATTTCCTCTTGGCTGTCAGATGGGGGTGAGCATGGCAGTTCCATCATTGCACACATGCCTCCCGATTTAAAACCTAATTCTGCTCACTTTATACGATATGCCACTTTTTCTTCCCTTTTTCACCATGCTTCGGTACGGCGGCCAAAAGAGAAACACTATTTTAAATATTCAAGCTTAGACACTGAACATGGCTTGCTTCTACAAACCTGACTGTTTTGAAGAACCGACTGGCCTTCATACAAAATAGACCGGTGCTACATTTTGGGAGCAATCCTGTGATTTTTTTAAAAATGGGCTACAAAGTTATCAGCTACCCCTTTATTCGTATTTTCTACACACAGCTTGCTCCGATCAACGTGGACGCAACTCACAGCCGGCAGAATACACAGGACCTGTTGCTCATTTTATTATGTCTGTGCAGTACTAACAGGCCTGGAATAATGAATTCACCTTCTATGTAAACACAAAAATGTCGGATCCTTCTTCGCCATCTGTGGAAGAGGAAATAGGAAAGCAGTAACTAGAGTCGGAGGACCCCCGGATCGTATGTAAACACTAAGGAGTCATTCATGGCAGCCTCGGTGGGTTGTCTCCTGAGTTTACCAGCTGCCTGAGTGTCTCGGTTCAAAAGAAGACCAGGACTCTGGGCAAACCTTTAAGGAGAGGACGTCAAGTAACAAATTTTCATTGGGAAAAGGAGAAACGTTATCTAGGGGAAAACATTATCATCGATGGGAGCATCAGTGCTATTTTTCAGTGCCTTTAAAAGCAGAGTGACTTACAAAAATTAAAACAGGCCAAGCTGTCTTTGTATGTCGCAGGGGAGGGAAAAAATGGCTTCATTCATTTCTATTTGCCGAATGCCAGTTCAAAGATGGGATTGAGGCTACAGAAGATGGGAGCGAGTCTGCTATCGGCATCGTGACCCTCTTGGCTTAAAATGAGGAACGACCAAGCTATATGGACTGTGACGTTTTGTCTTTTTAGCATGCTGGATTAAATTGGTCAGACGTGTGAGCCATCCAAGCAAAGCTTTTTATCGAAAGCGTTTTTTGTTTTGTTTCAAAGGTTCCTGAAATGCAGTGACCTGATCGAAAATAAGACGACAGGATTTCAAATTGAGACAGAGATTTAAGAACGGCATTCCTTAGAGATTAACAGTTGACCATCTCTTTATCTTAACCCCTTCGGTCTGAGAGAGGGTCGGAGGCACTCTAGAAAACAAACATTCCCTAACTCTGAGATGCCAGCGGCCTTGCCGCCTTTCTTTCCTGCTCTGATGTTCCACCCCTGTGTGGCCTTAGATTTATTTTACCGTACGTGAATGTCAAAAGGCAGCCAAGGCGATCCCACCCAGTAAGATCTACTCTTAGCTAGCAGTGTCTCCTCGTGCTTTCGGGAAGACCAAGCCTTGCAAAATGAGGTCCGCTTGATCTGGAGATACTAAGCTCTCCCAAAATTACTGCGGTCCTGCATGGAGCGATATTTATTTTTTCTTTTTGTAAGACCGCTAACGGAGAAAAGAGTGGAACCTTTATTCCCCTGCATGGTGCTTTCAGGAGGGTCGCCCCTCTGTTGTACCACATAATTCCTTCACTCTCCAGAACAGGTCAACAATGAAAGTACTGTAAACCAAAAAAGAGTCCAGCTGAATTGGGCCATGAAGCTCGCTATTCCAGCAATCTGATTCTGACGGTGGCCAGCCACCTTTCGCTAGGGAATATATAAGCAATGGCCCGTCCCCACCCTCAAATTTGGGGCATACGGTCTCTGTCCAGAATTTTCAAGCAGTCAAAACAGCCCCCCACAAGACAGAGGCTGGAGTTTTCCGTGTTAGGACGAATCCAAAATGTGGACTACAGCTCCATCTGCCCCGTTTCCCCCCCCACCCTCCAATGGGGGTTGCTTCGGAAAGCCTCAGAAGTCCGGTCGTCCCGAGCGTCCACCTCAGCACTTGAGGTCCGGGTTTGTGATTTGTTTCCACAGCCGGAGGGTCTGCTCGGGGCTGCGTCGGTGGACCAGGAGAAGTTTACTGTGGACGCACGGATCTTCGCGATCCTTCTCGGCAATATCGAAGGTCTGGAAGCCGGGGTGAGCCTCCGGTTGGATGCCGAGGGCTTGGAAGCACAGACCCGTGTAGACGTCATCGATCGGGTAGAAGGCTACGTGCTGGGAGATGTGGTGGAGCCATCGGGTGAGCGGTCCTGAGAAGATATACCCACCACCACCAGCGTAGGCTGGATAAGGCCCCACGTAATACGATTCCGGCACATAGTACTTGCTCTTCCGGACACGGAACGGCGAGGCGTTGGCCATCACTTGGCCCGTATAGAGCGGCTTGTGGGCCTCCAAGGAGCGCAGGTAATCCAAGACCTTGGGGGTGTTAATAAAGACATCATCATCCCCTTTGAGGATATATTGGACATCCGGACAGTGTTCCAGCGCCCAGCTGAGGAAGAGGTAGTCTTTCAGCGTCAGATTGAAGAAGGTGTCTTCAAAATCCCACATCAAGATGTCCCTCGACATCCGACTCTCGTACTCCACCAGGCGCTGGAGGCGAGGCCCGTAGCGGCCCAGGCCTGTGCCGAGCAAGAAGACGGTGCGTATGGCCAGCCCGCCGGGCGCGCCTTCACGTCCCCACGTGTCGCGCACGCTCTGGCGGGCAGCAAAGTTGCCGGGCAGAGATTTGATGGCCAGCAGAAGGAAAGTGTGGTTCGTACCACCGGAACATTTGCCGGGCTGGTTGATCAAGAGCGGGAAGTTCCGGCAGCTGTCGTAGAGGACGAAATTCTTGTAAAGTTCAGAGTATGAATCAAAGTCTTGGATTCTGGACACCCTCTCCTCCGACCCGGGCCCTGAGCATTGATTCCACGAGGTGTTATGCTCCACTCCTTGCTCCAGAGCTTGGAAGAGCCTGTGCTGTTTGTCGTTCCAGTACGCTTTTGCTCTCGGGATGCTCTGGCGCAGCTGCTGGACGGAGGCGTTGAAGTTTTGCAGGACAAACGGAGGCAACGCGTTGGTCGACGGCTGGACCGGCGTGACAGAGCTGCTCGGCCAAGCTGCCCAACGAGGGCTCGGAAACCGCTCATCCTCTTCGGTGGTCCACTCGATGTAGGCCTTGAGGGCTACTAGCGTCAGCAAAGCCGTGGCCACGGTGAGGCACCGAGACATTCTTAACGTCCTACTGGGGGGGGAAAGGGGGAAAAAACACACAAATAAAGAGGAGAGCCAAAATGGAGAAATCAAAGACTCGAACCCAGATCCTTCAGTCAAGCCAAGTCGTAGGAAATTCAGGACAAATGCAGAACGAGACAGGATTCAACTGTGGAATTTGCTATCGCACAACGAAGCTGCTGACTTGTACTAGTGTTGAAAGTGGGTTAGATAAACAGATGGAAGCTCGCCCCTTTTCTGTGGTTACTAGCCATTATGGCTACATGTTCCACTGGGTCAATATAAAGCCTCAAAATAAACATCTCAAGGGTCCTTGTGTATTTCTAATGCGTCTTATTGATAGAGCGCTATGGGATATTCAGACCACTTCGTCCCTGTATTTTAATACACCTACATAGGACCTGTGTAAACTCACTTCCCTGTCAAATGGAAACTTGAACCCAGGTTCCCCACTCCTTACTCTGACTCCTTATCCCATGAATCCTGCTCTCTTTTCTATACCCTAAGCCTCCCCGGAGTAACGTTCGAAGATCACTCAGAAGGACAGTGTCTGTTCTACATACTTTCGAAAAACAGATCGGCAAAAAGGGACCTTCCCATCATCATCATCATCATCTTAGAATGGAGCAGGAAGGGACCCTCTGGATCATCCAGTCCCTGTCAAGGAGGCCCCATGGGGGGAATCGAATCCCAACCTCTGGAGATCAAAACCACACAGCTATCTAGCCGTTTGTTCACCTGCAGCCCAGCCAAGAGTAAGCAGGGCTGGTGACTATAATCCAGCAGAGTCTGGAAGGGTAGCATTTTAGAAGACACGGCATGAGAGGAAAAGGCGTGAGGAAGGAGGAGGAAAAGCAGCCCTCCTCTCTGCTTGACGAGGCGCCTACAATTTCCACTAAGAGACAACCGCGGCTTGGAGGTCAGGGGAAACAATAATGAATGCATGAATGCTAGGCTCTGCCTTCAGTCTGAGAGATGCTCTCTCTTGAAGGAAGAGTTGTTTTTATGCTTCTCAGTGCTTTCTGCCTTTTGCCTCCAAACCAGTTTTAAAGCTCTGCTCTGAACTCTCTTTTTCTTATGATAAGTGACTGCAGGCAGGATCCGTCACCGCCCGAGTGGCATCCGTTTCTCTGCATATGGGGTGCAGAGAAATCACATCGGGTGCAGAGAAATCACACATCCACCCCACAACACCTCCCCAGGGCTCATGAAATCAATGCTTTCGGACCCGACGCTGTGGCCTCGTCCACTTTCAGAGAGCTGTGTCGCTAGACCTGTACAAGGAACAGAGATTCTTTCCATTACCTTGGGGGAACCTCACCTTGGCCATCCTACCTGATAACGTTAGGAGCCATTATGATGACTTGATCGCAGGTGGCCGGCTGACGTTTCCTGAAATTCTGGTTCTCCTCTAGAGCTCCCGGTGGGAATCATCAATCTCACGGCAAGGAGAACTGGAAGAGGAGAAAATTTGATTTTTGGTTTGTGTTTGATGGCTTTTGTGCTTGGGCACCCCTCACTCCCCTCCTCTTAGCTGGCCCCAAGGCTTGGAGGTAATTCTATATCCCTTGCATGTATGATATTTCTTTAGGAGATAGTGGGGAGAAATCCACTATTTCTTAAATGAATGTTCTGGCTCACAGAAATAGGGATATTATAACTTCTTACCAGTGGTGGGATTCAGCAGGCCAACAAACGAATGTTCTGGCTCACAGAAATAGAGATATTATAACTTCTTACCCAAGGTCCCAGGGCGTGACAAAAATAGCCCTAAGGGACAGGTATAGGCCGAACAGAGTAAGCTGGTTTTCTGTAAATAAAGCAGGACCCAGAGAAATGGATTCGAATTCCGAGAAACGGGATTTCACCTAAACATTAAGAAGAACTTCTTGACAAGAAGACGGCCTCAGCAGGGTCACGAAACACCCCTTCACTGGTGGTTTTTGAAGAGAAGTTAGAGATGGCCACTTCTCAGGCACGTCTGAGGAGCCTTGAATTTCCCACTTAGGCAAAAACAGAAATTACGAATTTTCTCCATTTACTTCCCTCAGCAAACATAATTGCACTTAATGATCCTCACAGTCTTTTCCCGCTTCTAGGCCTCTGTTCCCTGAGAGGGGAAAACTTAATAAGGAAAAAAAAAGACCCTTAAAGGCACGTCTTTTCAAGTGCAGAAATGAGGTGAGGGGAAAAAAATTGCTTCACTATCAAATGTTTAGGAAACACTGAACCAAGCGCAGTGCGCATATCCCTTTTGATGTGGCTGAAGCGCCAGCATCATTGCGGGTAGCTAAGTGCCTGCGGAATGGCCATTTAGTGAGCTAATGTGATTGGCAGTCAGCGCTTTTATTAGTAATTCCACCCCCCCACGGCATAGCTTCCAGAGAAGCCATTTCCAGCTGAAAACAACAGGAAACGTAATCCGACATGATGCTCCTTCTCAATTAACCCACGTCCCCTGTGGGCCTGACTGATGGCACTCTGGCATCAACAAAAAGGCCACGGAGTAGCTGAAAAGCGAAAGGCTGTCTTTTGACCCTTTGAAGGGTTTGGCCGGCCCCAAGCCCCACAGAAAAAAATAAGATACCTGCCATCCATTCTCTTTGTACAAAGTCTTATTTATAGCTTATTTCCTTGAATGTCACCAGTGCTCGGGGCCAGCCAAGCCATTCCCAAAAATAAAAATAAAAATGCAAGGGTGGTTTTGCAAATACTTTTATGTGTAGACACCATGTCTGCCCAAGCACTGGCACTCCTCCGGGGAAGAAATTGACAGAGATCCCGGACAATTTGAGGAAGTCTCCAGTCCTGCCTTAAGGACGAGATGTCATCCTTACTGGGCTCAACCTTGATTGTGGCTTCTAGAGGGTGCAGATCTGAGGTTTTGGACTACCACTAGAAACTGAAGACGTGAGAAATGTTAATATACCTCGGTTGGTCCATCAATGTAAAGGGAGACGGTCGCCAAGACATCAGGAGAAGGCTGAGACTAAGAATGGGAAGTCATGAAAGAGATGGAAAAGATCAAGTGTAAGGATGTGTCGCTGGAGACCAAGATCAGTCACATGTCTGGGTGTGAACGTTGGACAGCAAAGAAAGATGACAGGAAAAACATTCAATTTGTCTGCAATGTGGTGCTGGGGAAGATATTTGCAGATACCCTGGATGGCCAGAAAGACAAGGAAATGGGTGCTAGATCAAACTACAGTGGTGCCTCGCTAGACGATTGCCTCGTGGGACGAAAAACCCGCAAGACGATTGGTCTAGATCAAACTAGATCAAACTACAGTGGTGCCTCACTAGACGATTGCCTCGTGGGACGAAAAACACGCAAGACGATTGATTTTTGTGATCACTATGGTGCCTCGCAAGACTTTTTTTTTTGAGACCAATGCTTCGCAAGAATTTTTCTTTAGACCGATGCTTTGCAAGACTTTTTTTTAAGACCGAAACCTCGCAAGACGATTTTTTTCACAAGATGACGATTTTCGTGGAATGAATTAAAATCGTCTCGCCAGGCACCACTGTATCTCTGGGTGGCCAAAACATTGAAACCTTGTCTTACTTAGGGCTCATCCTGAGAAGGCAGGATTCTCTGGAAAAGACCATCATGCAGGGAAAGGCAAAAAGCAGCAGGACATGTGGAAAAGCGAATATCGATTGACTTCCTAAAAGAAGCCACAGGTTTGAGTCTGCAGGAGCAAAGCAGAACCGCTGAGGACAGGACCTTAGAGAGATTGCTCATCCATAGGGTCACCGTGAGTCGCAGGTGAATTGATGACCCATAACAACAGCCACCATTCCCAGAATTCATGATGCTTGAGAAATCCTGGTTCCTGTGGCCTCAGAAAAGAGACAATTTTCTCGGCTTTTGGTTGAGGACAATTTCTCAGAATAGAAATGCCATCCCTCCCTCAGAGGGAGGCAGACCATGGAGAAGTTAACTTTTCCGGACGACAGCTCAGACAGCGGTCATCCAGAGCATTAACTCCCAAGCTCCCATCGCCAAAAAACACGAAGCAATGCATTACTAAAAAAAAAAAAGGAAATTGGAAAGAAACTCATTTGCATAAAATTACACTTATACTAATTTAAATACACTGATGAGGATTTTAAAAGATCTCCCTTTTTAAGGTTCTTACTCTTTTAAATCTGATCTGGGCTGGGTTGCCCTTCAAAAAGCAAGGGCTCTTTCAGAAAAAGGGCTCTACTCTCGTAAAATCGGGTGTGTATCCACCTTCTGTGGAAGGACACAATGCTGTCTCTTCTCAGAAAAACCAAAGGCTTTTTTTTTCCGTTGCCCCTCCTATTGTTGGCTTCTTTCCATCAACAACAGCTTCCATGTTCTTCGGCCAGGAGAGCTCTAAATATAAAACCCCAACCGTGCTCCTCGTGGCTTTGAGGCAAATGCACCCAACGCTGAGCCCGATAAGACGCCTATCCAGGAAGGTGTGACAATGCCAAACGGCCGTGCGCTGACAGCCGACTTCAACCAACACCTCCGAATTTATCCTCCTCGTCAACCCAAATACAAGCCTCCTTTCCCATGACTTTCTGAATGAGCCCATATCTTAATCTCCAGCTCCAGCTGAGCCCATCGGATCCACATTGCGCATTTATTATGGATGCTTCTCTCCCAGTTTTGCTCTGTTCTTCCACGAGGTTGACATAGCTTTTCTCCTCAAAACCACCCTGCAAGGTTTTGAGGTGGATGAGGGAGAGCGATGGGCTTAAGGTTGCTCCCTCTGCCCGTTTTATGAAACCATGAGGATTCGATCTCAGGTCTTCCCCATATCCCAATCTAGCATTCCTAATGTCTACACCCCACTGTCTCTCTTCCTTGGCTCTCCCTCTTCAGTCACCCGGCGAGCATGAGAGGAAGGGGAGCCGTCCACACTTTTGAATGGATGCTAAGACAGGACGCTGTTGCTACATGCATGAAATGTCATCATGGGCTCAAGCTACAGGAAGCCAGATTTCAGCTAAATATAAACCTCTTAACCGTTAGAGCAGTACAACGACGGAACCCATCGGGAGGTGATGAGCAGCGCTCCAACGCTGGAGACCTTCGAGAGAAAATTGGACATCTGTTGGATGTCCTCTGATCTGGATGCTCACCTTGAGTATGGTTGGACGCAATGACCTTACAGGCCCCTTCTGACGCCATCATTCTACGTTTCTACCTCGGATGTATCAGAAAGACATTTTTTGGGGGGAGTCAGAGAGAAGTCCCTGACCATCTCAAGGTTGTCGTGTTCCTCAGCAATGAACTTCAGTGGGAGAGAAAACCTTCACAACTTATTGCTTCTACATTTCCTGGATTTATAATCCTCTCCTTAACAACAGCCTTCCGACACACACTTACTGCCACGGAAGCCCCTAAGAACAGACCGCCTAAAATTTCCCTGTAGGAAAAAATCCACAAGAACTGAACTGTACTTTGTTAAAAAAAATTCATTTCTTGGGTGCATTCCTGCTTTCCCTCAGCTTGATGCATATCTTCGGCCCTTTTGTCTGCACGATCTGAACCAGGCTGCTAACGGATAAGAATCTTTGGAAGTTATTAATTCATAACCTTTGCTGTAGCTTGGAAGCAACCTGATGGTACTTAATGCCTATATTTTAAGCCTATTAGCCCTGGGCGCAGATTAAAGGCAGAGATTCCTCGCCACTTCATGATCTTGAGCGTGTTATTTTTAAAAACAATAATTCACATCACGGATCACTCACAGTTCCTCCGGTGTGATTTAACACAACTTCCACCTAAATCCTTTTTTTGGTCCAAGCAGCTGTAAATCACCCCACAATTGATCCGTTCTCTCACACACAAATAACTTTGAAGTCAAAGCAACCGGTAGCGAAACATGAGCCCCTCGTACCCTCAAGAACAATGTGTGCTAGAAACAACAGCGCACACCCCCAAGACATGCGACAATGACACACACTCCCCGCAGACGTGCTTTTTCTTCGCTTGTCAGGCTGTGTTTTCTCCCAGAAAAGGCTTTGCCACTCCTGTTATTTTCCTTTCCCTGCTCTGGGTCATGCGCCCAGACTTGCGCCATGCTCCCAAGCATGTTTACTCAGAGAGTGGATCTTGCTCTGCCTGCTTGTGAAAAAAGAAAAGGCAGAAGAGCACAATGGTGCAACCCAGATTTAGGCATGTCTAAAGGAGTTCTGTTTGCCTGAGCAAAGCTTAACCTAGGAAATCGTCCAAGGTGGATGGGAGAAAAGAGATACCAGGGAGGACAGACCCACCTTAAACTAGGGTTGAATTAACTGTGCCTTTCCTCTCTTCTGTCTGGAGTGGACTGTTCTCTTTCTCTCTCTCCTGCTTGGTTTCTCTCGTCTATCGCTCCAGGCGATGTGGGTGTCTTTCTCATGCGCAACAAATCATACTTGGGAGATGCACATCCTGAAACAGCAGCATCCCGGGGAGAGGTGAAACGTCCCGCCTGTTGCAAACTCAGACCGTGAACCCAAGTGGCCTTGGGAGGAGAAAGGAGGAGAAGCCGGTGTGGGCAGGCAGAACCGAGAGGCAGGAAGCTCCTCCTGACACACCAGCCCAGTGCAACAGAGGCAAAAGGGTGGGGCATTTCATAGCGTGTGTCTGAATATTTCATCTGCTATCAAATATTCATGCTGCCCAAGCTTTGGCGGGAATAGCAGCATGACCTGCAACAGGGAGCAAGAAAACGGATGAGCCAGGGCCCAAGGTGTAGGTGGGGGAGAGGCTCTCCCCCCAAAAAAGGGGGTTCAACCAGGGAATTTGGGCCAGGTTTCTGGGCACCGAAAGGGCAGGGAGCATCTGCTCTTTCGCAGGATGTCCAAAAAATCAATCAAACACCCACCAAAGCCAAAAATGAGAGGTGGTTTCCTCTAGAATGTGCGGATCTCCTTCCTCGCTGGAAGCTCAATGGATGGAGCGTCACCCATCCAGGACTGATAGCTTGGCTCTCGGATCAAAGCTCTCCAGGTAGTCTCTGTCTGTCAGCCTCACTTAGCTCACAAAATCACCCGCATTTTTTTTGTGTATAAGACGCCCCAAATTTTCTAATCCAAAATTAAGAAATCTAAGTGGGGATTAGCAAGTGTAGGGAGAAAGGGATCAAAGCGCTGCAGGATCGCTTTGATCCCTGCTTTCCCCTCCATTTTTAGTCTAAAGATTTTAGACAAAAGTATAGTCTTATACAATGAAAAATATGGTATGTTGCAATGTAGCATCCCGTCGCCTCCAACTCAGGGTGACCCTATGAATGAGCAACCTCCAGAATCCTCTATTCTCAGCTGCCTGACTTGGCTCTTGGAAACTCAACCCTGTGGCTTCCTTTAGGGAGTCCATCCATCGTGTATTGGGTCCTCCTCTTTTCCTGCTGCCTTCCACCTTACTCAGCATGGTGGTCTTTTCCAAAGAATCCCGCCTTCTCAGGATGTTTCCCAAAGCAGGACAGCCTCAGCTTCAAAATTTTAGTGTCCAGAGACGGTTCGAGGTTGATTCAATCTGGGACCCACTTGTTAGTCTTTCTGGTCAACCAAGGTACCTGCCAAGCTCTCCTCCATCATCATAAGATTATTGTGTGGATAAAATGAGCCAGTAGGGAGAATCAATCCTGTATATAACTCTGAATCTTTCAGGGCAGAAATGCTCAACCTGGGCCTTCCAGATGTTCAGGATACATATGTATGTTTGTATGTTATCCCCCCCCACCTTCCTTCCCAAAGCAGCTCACAACAATTCAGACTATGCAATGTGTCAGATTTTAAAACCCCATTTGAAAACTATACTTAAAAAAACCCAAACGTTTGTCAATAATGAAACCACAATTAAAAACAAATTTTAAAACCTTTTTTGTAAAAAAAAATTAATATTTTAAGGGTCGAACTAAATTACTGTAGATAGTAAAGTTAGATCGCATCCTCTCTCTTGTATCCACTAGAAACACAGAAGCCCTTCCATGGTGAGGCACGCAGATCTGCGGAAATTATACATGACCCATGTGCCAAATCATAGCTAAGCTAAGTGAGCCCTGTAAATAAGTTTTCAAAAGTTACTAGCCATTCAGCCTTGGGATAAAAGCAAAATAAAATGTGTGTGTGTTTTAAAATATATATAATTGCTCTTTATAAAGATATAAATATAAATAAAATTATTAGCCCATTTGTTATGATACCCATTGCTCCCCCATAAGGATTGAAATGTATAGATTGTGACATAAAAAGGAGCAAGTGTAGCGTGGTGTAGTCTGGCATAGTGGTTAGAGCATCGGGCTGGGTTTAATTGATCCAGCGACTATCAGCGACCATGTTCCTACCTGACCAGGCTGTTGTGCGGGTAAAGCAGGGGTGGAAAAGGAGAACTGGCCGTGTAAGTGTAGCTTTTTTCTTTTCTTGTCTCCTGGAAACCCAGTAAAAAGTTGGGGGTTTCAGAGAAAAACGTCCAGCACATGCTGAAGAAACAGTAGTTTGCATTGCTCTCTGGTGACTTTGAATGTACGCTTCTTATCACTTGGCACATGCGTCCGCTTCGGGCATTTTTAGGGAGTGCCCAGCGTAGGCAGAGCATGAGAGGGAATCAAAGAAAGAGGGAGATCTCTTAAAATTTTGGGGCGAGGGGCCATCTCGGGCGTGTGTCACCACCGATGCCCTGAAAATGTGGAAACCCTGAATCTTATTCTTGGGTACTTCCGGTTTGGCTTCTCAACAGTTGACCGTGGCCAACCCCCCCATGTTTACTCTGAGAGGGAATTATAAATAGCTTTGAGCAAGTGCTTTGCAGGCTCCGACCAACGTTAGCCCTGCGCCAAAGGAAAACAGGTTGTGTGCCAAGAAAACACTCAGAAACAAATTAGACCAACCATGTGCGGTATTTTTTTTTTTAAAGCATGATCCAGAAATACAGGTGCTTCTCATACAGGAAATCATCCTTTGGAAATTTCCAAAGTGTAACGGGGTGGTGGTGGTGGTGGGGAGAGCATGAGTTTGCTCCTGGTTGTTGCTGGAGGGCGAAAAGGATGATGCAGGAAGAACAGTTTCTTGGTCTGATCATCACACCAGGAGTTTAAAAGTCACTTATAATTTCTGTCAACAGACTTCCTTCCAACCTGCTCGGAAGCTGAGATTTGCAACATCTTAGATCTTGCAGGCGAGAAGACAATGTTAAGGACGTGTTCTGAACCAGCAGAGAAGCAGTACCAAATGACAGAATTTTGAGAAGTTACTTTTTCAGGCAACAGCTCCCTGAATCTCCCGGCTGTCACAAGTCTTGGTGAAATTCTCAGTAGCCCAAGAGAGCCCATTTTTAAAGCTCTTACTCAAAGCCAAGAAAGTGGTGAATACTGCTTTGTGTTGCCCATAAACCAAATTCTTATAACAAAGCAGGAAAGAGAGAATTAACCGTTATCAGTCATGTGCTGGGACTTAAAAATACTTCATAAGTGACACTTTTATTTTCGATATCCAGGACAACGGTTTCCTGTGTACTCACGGGGGAAAAAAGAGGAAGACTTTATCTCCATTTCAAATAAATGACAAGCGGAGTTGTATCTTTGGAAGATTTTCAAGCCCTGGGCTAAGAAGAAAGGGAGGCGTTTCTCCATGACCTTTGTTTATTTGGTCATGGAAACAGGTTAATTATGGGGTGGAGTGAAGAAGGACTTCCGTCTGCCCCGTGGAATTGCTCCCGGTCACCCAACCAACCTGCGCAAGCGAAGGTTAAAGGTGTCGGTGTGAGGGAAAGCAGAAATGACCCACTTACGAGTTTTTGCCCAGAATTTCTTGCCCAAATCCTTTTGCCCATTTGATGGAACACCAACTGGGCGAAAGGATTTGGGCAAGAAATTATGGGCAAAAGCAAACTCCTTCATACAGTTTCTGTTTTCTCAAGGCTTGGCTGCTGTTATTTATTTACTTTTAGAACGCCTGACTTAGTGCAACACAATTTGAAGCGGTTTGCAGACTTCAGCCGCCACACAACGACTAAAATCATTGTTGGAGCATATTAAAATTCTGGAAATAACATTTTAATATTAAATTAATTAATGTTAACATATTAAATTAATATTTAATTTTTAAAAAAATAATAATAAAACAAATTTTAAAAATTTGATGTTGAAAGGTCTGCCTTGGATTCATATTAAAATCATTCTATCAGTTTTTGAGATTATATCCCATTACAGCTTTTCCCACTCTTTCTTTGACTATGAGGGCTACTCCATTTCTTCTACAGGATTCTTGCCCACAATAGTAGATATGGTAGTCATCTGAATTGAATTCGCCCATTCCCGTCCATTTTCGTACATTCTAGTTTCCTATGCAGTATTTTTCTTTGCAGCATCGGACTTTCCTTTCACTTCCAGGCGCATCCGCCACTGAGCGTCCTTTCAGGTTTGGCCCAACCACTTCATTAGCTCTAACATCCATAATACCACAGACTAAAAATGAAAATGCAACAAAAAGGCAACCGGATTGACACCTAGTAGCTTAAAGGAACCAAATGACATAAACTGAAACATAATAAACAAAACATCCAGCAGGGTAATAAAAAATAATCAATAGCAACAGTTGTGTGCAGGTCTTGAAAATTAACCTAGGACATTGCTAACAGAACTCCTTCAAGAGTTCAGTTTTTACCAAGCTTCTAGTTTCTGGTGGAAATTTATCCCACAGAGAGGGTGCCACCGCTGAGAAAGCCCGAGGCTTAGTAATATTTTTCTTTATTTGCCTCAGGGTAGGCACCGTCAATAATGCAGGCTGAGAGGAACGGGTTGGGCAGGTAGATATCTATTGGGGAGAGGCATTCCAAACGAACGAGGTCGCAAACGTTTAGAAATCATAACTAATATCTTGAATCTGACACCACCGTCGCCAACAGAGAGCCAGTGCAAATCGGCCGGACCAAAAATACACAAATAAATCTGTTTCTTAAACTGGGCATGTGAATGGCCAAAGAAAAAGGAATGCTTCAGCGGGAAGTTGACCTCAGCCTGGCTGTGGGAACGGAGGATAGCCGCCTCGGCTTGCGTTTATTAAGCAATTGTCAGTGACGATTGCACAAGATTCCATGGTGGAATGCGGGATTCTTGCAGAACGGTGTGGGAAGTATCCAGATTTCCAGACACCGGCTCCTTTGTTGCCTCATCCCCTGCTCAGGGTTATGTCACGGCTGCACCCGCTGAGAACATTCAAGGCAAGAAGGTGGCAGGGAAAAAAATGAGCAGGTGTGCTGGCTGAGGAGAGAGCTGGCGAAGGCCTATCATTGAGCACAAAGCAGCCTGTAAAGCGATGTGTACTGCTTTTTAGGAAAAACCAACCCAGAAAACAATCCTGCCCATTTATTTCCCCAATGCCAGGCCACACGAGATACCCAATGATCGTAGAACTGGAAATATTTTCCTCCAACCATGTCACATCTGCTTGGCATGAGCCAGGAGACAGATAACCAGATTGATTTAAGTGTCCCCAAAAATGTGTACATGTTCAAAATAAAGGCATGGATCATGCTTATTCACATGCATTCAACTGCAAGCCACTGAGTGGTTAAAAAAA